TCACTTGAGTCTTTGGTTTTCTCCCCTTCCAGCAAACTGAACTCGTTTGCTAATTGCTAGCTTTTCAAGCCAATTTTTTAAGGTGGCCATGTTATCTGATAGATGTGAAATCAATTGCAAATAACAGAATCTGAAGTCTAAGTAGAGATATCTTTTTTTTTTTGGATAATGGATTAAGAAACTTGGCCTCTACATCCATGAGAGGATGTACACAGCCAAAGTACAGATATCTGAAGCACATTAAAGAGGAGATTTGCCAAAGTTGAGTACAGAGACATAATTTGTAAGAACTACTGATCCCTTGTAGAACAACTGCAAAACCCTTAAAGTAGATATACTACCCAAAGAAAGTGGAATATAAATATAGCAGGAATCTGGTACGCCAAGTCCATTTTGGAATTATCTCCTCTTGTTTCGGCTAATAAGGAATAGCATCATTTGGGCATCTTGTAAACACTGCATCAGTGTCATTCTCTTAGTGTACTTTACATTATTCTAAAGCTATATCATGCAGGAGATGGCATTTATGGGTTATTTTGCAAAATCAAGGATGATACCTGCCCTGATTGGTTAAACAGAAAAGCAAAAAAGCTTAAGAACAGTCTCACAGCATCTTGTGCCATATTGAAAACTGCTGCACACTACACTTGCAACTTAAACAAAAACAAAACAGTGGCTAAGGTTTCCATGCTGTTGCTCTCAGGAAAAGGACATTGTTCTTTTGGCTAGTTTTGCATGGCATGGCACCAGCTAAGGCCTAGTTCCACACACACAAACACACACACACACAGAGAGAGAGAGATCATAGATTCTTTGCCTCTTTTTGTGTCTTTTTATTGCTGCTGTTGCATCATGCCCAGTCCTAGGAGTGACAACAAAGTTCTTTTTTTTTTCTTCCTTGGTGCCTTTTGTGGTCCTAACCAATGTTTTGTACTGAAACTTAACAACTAAACAGCTCTGGTTTAAGCCATACTCCCTAAGTTGCCACTTGGTAGTATAGTACAGCTTGTGGGAGTACTGAGATTTAATTTGTTAATTAGACAGTCAGATGAACTAGAAAATTGAGAAAAAGAAAACATATCCTTGGTTAAACTACTTAGATGTAGTATATCAGGAAAATTATTGCATGTATATTGTGTAGTGCTTATGGTCCATAAGATGGCATCATGGTTTGTCTCCATCCTTGGATTGGTACTATCTCCTGACATGATTTTTAGAACAGCTAACATTCAAGATTCCTGCATGATGCGGACTTGTGTGATTGGTTAAATGCGTGATAAAAAAAAAAGGTGAACTTGAAAGGATGAGCTTTTGATTGGATCACAAGGTTGAAATTCTTGAAAATAGAATTCCAACTGTGAATAAATATAGAAAATTATTGTAACAATCGCCTTCCTTTTGTTCTTTTACAATATAACTGGTGAATTCATCTTTCATTCGACATGCTTAGTTTCCATGATGAAAATAAACAATGAAACTCTACCTGGTGTGTATGAACTCTAATGAACTGCTTGGTGATTTCAGATTAGGTCAAACCAAATGATGAATGTAACTAACCACAAACATGGTCAGCTCAAATTAATTGTATGAATAGCTTCAAATATTACAAAACTGCTGATTAGAGCAATCTAACATTAAAAAGCAAAACATGTTCAGAGGAGGTTCATGTTTAATATGTATCCGCTGTTTCTCTTTCAACAAATGGTGGAGTATACAAATTATAAAAGGCCTTCCATGCTCATGCACCCTAGAGAGAGTAGGGACAAGCATCCTTGGGGGATACTTTTAAGGAAAAAGAAAAGGAGAGGCCTTTATCTAGATTTTTGGATGAAAATGGATACTTCCAATGCTCAAAAGCATGTGTGTGATGCACATGATAAGCCTAATTAACATAGTTATCATTGCATTAATCAGTGGTCCTGCCAAAACTATAAACACTTTGGCCTTAGTGTGAGGTGGTCCTCTCCCAATTATTTTTCCCAAATCCAACAGCTCCACATACCTACTACAGGGTATAACATAATTGCTTATGATGTATCAGATTTCAGTGTAGTGGAGTCAATCAGCTGACAGAGTATCAGATCAGATCTGCTGGAACACCACCTAATCCTCCACAAGTTTCAGTGGTGGCATTAACTAGTGCATATAAAAACACATTCTATCTTCAGATATTATAAGACTCAACCTTTTTTTTATTTGAATAAGCTGTGTAAGACTTTACTCCATGGTGTCCTTGTTCACTGATAAAATTCTTGATTCCAGAAAAAAAAAATGTCTGTGCACAACTGCTAATTTGCTATTGGTGTGGTACAACACTACAGCAATACCCAATCTCCCAATGGTGTACTAATGAGTTTTACAGTATTGGCCAGGATTACATGTGAACCACTCAACCACCTACTTTTTTCTGCTGATTAAAAACTGTGGATAAGCTTTTCAGGTATGAAATTTCTGAATTTGATTAAGCTGTAAAAGTAGTTGTAATTGAATCAATCACTTGGGAAAACATAAGGAAGTACAAACACAGCTTAAATTGGGTGCAAGTTGCTAAGCGACAGACATAACAGCCACTTGGATATAGCTAGCAGAGTACCAACCAAGCAAAACTCTTAAGCTGAATATAATATATGTTCAGAATTCTTGAACTTGAGTTCAATTCTCTATGAATGAGGGGATCTCAACTCTCAACTTGATTAATGTAACCTATCTTTGGTTTTTGGGAGAAATTTGTTTTATCTTCATTACAACAGAAAAACAAAAACAGAATGGGTTCACAGCTTCTAAGAATGTATTTTCACCTTCCTGAATCTTTATAGCCAGGCCATGATCCCTGAAATTTAAACAGCATAGAGTTATCTTTTTTTTCATTGAAAGATCCATAGTAGAGTTATCAATCCTATAATTATTTTCAACCGACCACTAATGATTAATTACAAATAGAAACATGTGAAAACTTACCAAATTCAAGTAGGTAGAAACTAGATCTTCTAATTAATCATGCGTAAACAACACACTAATCATGCACCAAACAGTCTGCACTAAATCTGCCTACGCCATGCCTGACAAAAACCACATGTTGGCCCTCCAAATTCGGGGACCTTTTGTAAAACTGTGTTACTGGCAATAAAAGACAATTTCTACATCTTCATCACTACAATAATTGAGCAAATAGTGCTGCGATATCTGAGTGTACTACTGTGTCTGATATGTTCATTGGCAATCCTATTTTTATCATCAATGGCTGTATCTGAAATATTTGCAGGATGGCATCGACATTGATTGTTCTGTCACCCATGATCCTCCTCCATAGGTCAGAATCCTGATTTAAATGTCTCCCAACGTACTGTACAAATTTTGTCAAGTAATTCACTGTTTCAGTAAAAAGACCGTATTTCCTAAATGACTGGAAGGTATTTACTACTGTAATTTTTTAGAAGCAATTTGGCTCCATGGACAGGCAGCTTCATGTGCTACCCATTAACACACCACACATTTATATGTCCTAACAAACTAAGATAATACTCTTTTTGCTAAGTTAGAATATGAATATCCAGTGGAATTGTTGTGGGGCCCTTAAATTCGGCCAGTTTCCACAGCTGTGATCCCAAAACTGATGTATTTTTGTGTGTGTGGATGCAGCTTGTCTGGGCCCTACCAAGTGCAGTCCATTGAGCAAATGACAATGGCATTTCCTGCATACTTGTGTAGTTTGATGGAGAAAGGAAACGAAAGATCCTCTAGCTCCAGAGATGAGAGAGAGACTGTCATTGAGAGGAGATAAGCATTTGGAAGAGTATCACAAGGAACATACTCTCCTCTCATATGGGCCCACACTGTGCCGAGATAGTTCTGGTAATATATATATATATATATATATATATATATATATATATATATATATATATATTCCTGGTGCTTTTTGCTCATGTCATCCTGGATGATTTATTTTACTCTGAATATCATAACTTAGATATATTGTGAGTAAATATCATAGCATTAGAATTTTAGCACTCTCTTTTGCCTCTGGAAGAGGCAACTTCATAGGACTTTTCTTTGAAGCGCGGGTTTGGAATTTAAAAGAAATCTGTAAGATTTAGCACATAAAAGATTTACAAATATCCAATTGCTCCAGTAAGGATTCAGTGTCTCCAAAGCTTTCTATTTGCAAAAGAGGAGAACGGCGCATCATCGTGCATCGATGATTTCGACGTTACAAATATTCAAACTAAAATTTACCATACAATTTTCAAAAGATTGAGCTGTCAATTTTAAACTTTATTTATTGCACATAAACTGTTAGTAAGTAATCTCACACAAAAGCTGCCTCCTCTTCCTCCATTCCTCCTTGTGCTTCTCTAATTAGTTGAAACAGTGTTATCACTGTAGGCAGAGAACAATGGGGACCCATGAACACTGTCCAGCAGGCCAAATCAGCGGTCAAAAAAGGGTTTAGATCAGTAGGAAAAAGGGTGAGAGAATTCACACTCATCAGCACTACTCTCTCAAACAAGATTCTGGCCATGGTGTTGTACACCATGATTGGCAAGCCAAAAAATTATTGAAGCTTTTTCTGTCCCTCCTGTTGCTGATGCTGTCCAGCATCTTGCAGATGCCCACTACTACTTTCCTCTTCTTTCTTTTTTTTAAAAAAAATTTTCCTCTACTTTGGCGTGCTGAAAAGGAGAGCCTTATCTAAATTACACCAACTCAAGTGTGATGAGAGTAGCAGCAGCAGTAGGAACAAGAAGGAAAAGTGGAGCAGGAAAAAGGAGGGAATTAGAGCACAAGTAGTTTGGTCATCAAGCTTTTTATCATAACTCATCAGGGCAAAGAGGAGCAGCAGCAGCAGCAGCAGCAGAGGACTGGTAAAGCTTTACGCTTTGCACTTTGCATTCAGTACAATGAGAATTTCAGAAAGCCACAAATTAATCAAAGGAATGATCCATTCCAAGTGCAAAATGCATCAGAAAGCAGCTTAAGAAATAGTATTAGACAAAGTGTTAAGGATATAAGAACTGAATGACATTGAAATCTATCCAGTGAGACATTGAAATCTATCCAGTGAGAGAGATGATGAACTGACCAATCTGGCACACCTGCAGAGATGCAACACTGCATCTGCATATGCTCTCATGTACAACAACCTGAATCTAGTCAGGAATCAAACAACTGAATGCTAGTATCAGTAAGGCTGACAACCATGAGCAGAGATGGTCAAGAACTACTACATTGCCGTTTTCTCTCATCATCATAGCAGCTTCTTCTACATAGTAAAAGGTTTTGCTTCTCCCTAATGATACACTCGTGCAAAAGCATTTGTAGAGAAGATGATGAAGAGGTCAAGAAAGAAATTAAGAGTAACTAAGCCTAATAGTAACACCACTAGAGAAGTCCCCAAGAAGTGACAATGGCATCATCACCATCATCTTCATCTTCATCTTCATCCACCCTATTTGATCTGAGCATCAAAATGCCAAGAATGGCACCTGATCCTAGCCGGGCCGGACACGCTTCTGGCCGGACCGGCCTGCCCCGTCGGAGGAGCGGAGCGTCCCTGACGAATCGCCCTCCGACGAGGCATCCATCGTGCGGGCGAACGACGCCGAGAGGTCGGCGTAGAGGCCGACGACACGGCGGATGTTGTTGTTGAGCTCCCGGATGAGGCCGACGTTCCGGGTGAGGTTGTCCGGCGCCCGGGACTCGTGGTTCTGGTTGATCTCGTTGATGAGCATCCGGTTCTGGTCCAGGATGCTCTGAACCTGAACGAAGCTCTTGTGGAATGTCTGGATCAGCTTGTTGTCCACCTGGCCGCCATTGGCCATCCCTGAGAAGCTATCACCTTCCATCTCTCTCTATCTCTCTTTTCTCCTCTCAGCTTCAGCTTGACAACCTCTTCTTTGTTCTTCAGCTTGTTCTTGGCACCAGAGCTAGCTAGCTAAACCTGAATTCAGCACAGGGCAATTCGCTATCAGTTAGTTGGGATGACAGAGTAAGATGAATGATGGTTCACTTCAGACTTGCAAGCCATGAATTAAAAATTGCATTTATGAGGAGATTGGATTGTGTACAGTTTGTACTAGAAACAATTAAAGACATATCAAGAACATCTAGTATGGAAGATTCAATGGGTAGGTACGAGGTACAGCAACCCAATGCAACCCCAGCAGATGGTAAAAAGATCTCTAACATCAAGTGAAGACAGTATCCAGGTAAATTCAACAAGGTAAAAACAAGGACAAAAAAACATGAGCTCCCAGGAGGATTCACCTCTCCCAAATCTCCTCCAGGTAAAGAACACAAACACCAAGAACTAGGACTCTTACACTTGTGCTTATCAGTCACTGCTACTACTACTCGCCATTGACATGCAAATCAAGAACTTAAATAGGAGAATGAAGAGGAGAGGGAGGAGATGGGGGAAGAAAAGCAACATAAAAAGAATGGAAGGATTCTATAGGACTTACCCAACAAAATGTTATCCCTGCAGAAACCTTTGCAATTAAGAACAGAAAAGTGGGGTGGATACCAAGGATGATAGAGAGGGGATGGAATCTATTGGGAAGTGTTTTGGGGGGAGAGGAGGCAAGCCTGATGCTGAGGTGAAATCATGGCCACTGGCCATTCTCCTCCATGCCCACCACCACCACTTCTCCCCTTTTATTCTCTCACACACACAAACACAGAGGCAAAGATGGAGGAGGAAGAGGAGGGGATCAAGAGGACAAGCAGAGCTTTTCTAATCACCAAAAAGCTGGCCCCAATTCCATAAGGGAGATATGGGCCTATTGCATTTGCAATTTTGCATTGCACCCCTACCCTCTTTCCCTATGTTGCTTTCTGCACCACATTTACATGCAACCAGAGACAAGATATTAATCACCCCATAATCCAATCTTGACAGGGTTGGATGATGCCAAGAATAGGAACTGAATCGGCCCCAAATAAAGAGCCAAACTTGATTGATTACTCCAAACAAGCTAGAGACAGGAGGATTTCCTCACCTCACCTGCACTTTCATGGAAGAAAGGGGAGCAAGCAATCCATGTCCATCCAATTATTCAGAACTCAGAACTCAGAAGCAGAAGCCAATTAAATGAATAGTTGCCTTCAAGAACCAAGCAACACAGCAAAAATTTGGATCTTTGGTGACAACTTAGCTCATGCTGATGCTGCTACTACTCTCCAACAGTGCCAGGCTGAGCTGAAAATTCCTGTGGTGGTGGTGGTGTCAATAATGGGAACCAAACCATGGCCAAATTAGGGAATTCCCCAAGAACTAATCCAGAATTGGGTTCTAACCACCATATACAACCTTGAATAATTTAGCCCAAGACCGATGAAGATATATTTTTTCTTCAAAATGTGGAACTGGGAGGGGATGAGAGGTGCCCACTGCACCAGTTTCAGCCTACCATCCAAACAGGAACTGATCCTACCACCTGTAGAATAGTATACTAGTACAAGAAAGAAAAGGAGATTGAAAAAAGAAACCCCAAAAGGCCAGCCAGTTCAGGCTGACCACCAGGAGCAAATAAACAAATAAATAAACAAACTTTGTGTGTGTTTGCTGCATATGCAAGCATGCATGCACACACACACACATACACATGGAGATGTGCATACAAACAAGTACTCCCCTAATTGAATTAACTATCATCCCATGTGTGTATTATTATAGTATGACACACAAAACTAACTAAATCCAGCTGATGATCAAGACCATCATCTGCCTGCCTGCCTGCCTCTCTGTTGTTTTGTGCAATTCTTTCTGCCTTCCCTTGGCATGCCATGACATGGGCAGGCTACACACACTGCTACAAAGAACAAGGAGAGGGAAAAGGAGAGGACATGGGTGCTACAGATGCATACATAAAAACATAGCATACCTTGGAGCAAATCTGGAGGAGCATTTGGTAGCCGCAATGGGGGGGAGGAGAGGGAGAGAGAATGTGGCGTGTAGGTGGGGGAAAAGGGGCAGAGAGAGAGAGAGAGAATGAGAGAGAGAGATGCTGAGGTAGGGATGGATGGGGGAAGAGAAAGGTGGATTTAGGGCCTGTTTGGTATAGCTCCAACTCCTAAATTTAACTCCAAGAGTTGAGTCTGGAGTGGAGTTGTGGAGCTGCCTAAACCCAGCTCCACAACTCTAGTTCTTTTGTGAGAGAGCTCCACCCAGCTCCACTCCCAGTTTTGGTGGAGCCGAAACTGTTTGGCTGAGCTCCAGCTCCAGAAGAGGTGAAGCTGGAGCTGGAGCTGTGCCAAACAGGCCCTTATTCGGGGCTCTTCTTCCTGGGGAAAAGGGCAGCTCTCGTTCTTGGGCGGGCGGCCGGCCAGGGCCACAGGCAGGACAAGCCAGGTGGATAACTAGTTCCTTTGTCTCCTCTCTCTATGAGCCCGTTCAGATGTATGACATTTTGAATCATACCATTTTTGAAAAAAATTAACAAATACTCTCTCTATCTACTTTTGATAGTTATATTTCTAAATCTGAAAAAAAAAATTGATAGACATATTTCAATCCAACAACCTATCATCTTAATGACTTTCTCAGATTTAATGCGTGACTCTCTATTTTTCCACATAAGATTAACTATATGGGTATCGAGAAATGTAAATATTAATGAATCGCTTATTTACGAGGTATGACTAGCAACATGTTTAAATGGATGATAAGTATAATTACTTATTCTTGATATGAATGCCAAGATAAAATATTACTATCAAAAGTAGATGAAGGGGGTATATTGATGTATTTAGTTTGTTACTAAATATTGGTACCGCCTAAAATTTTTGGCAACAACACATTTAATCTATCATATCGAAATTTGATAATGTTATCAACTAACTAAAATTTTGGCATTGTAAAGAAAAGTTTATTTTGGCAGCAATCTAAATAGGGTCTCTGTATATTGATCACTCGAAGAAAATAAATAAATATGAAATCGTCCTACATTTGGGATTATGATGGTGTTTGTTTATACTGAAGATAAACATGATATGAAAAAAGGAAATCATTAACGCACGATTATTTTAGTTATTACAAACTTAAAAATAGATTTATCTAATATTTTAAAGCAATTTCTACCTAGAAAGCAACATCTGATATTTTTTTCATATGTTGCATTTTTAGCTCTCCTTAAAAAGAATGAATTCTAGAGAAATTTTGGAGGAAACGGACTAATTCTAAGAAAAAACATGTAAATTTCTAACTATCTCTCTTTCAATGTAAATCAAGCAATTTGGGGAGATACTTATTCATGTCTGGTATTAAGGAAAGAGCGGGTATTCCCTAGCTCAACCATCCGATTTGCTCCGATGATTTTGTCACTTTCAGGAAGGCAGATTAAGTAGCAAAATTTTTTTGTCACTTTCATGTACCCATCAGGACTATTTTATAGTATATTATGATGTACATGGGACGTACTAGGAGGCCTGTTCTATGTTAGTGACGGCTTGTCTAAGTTTATTTATTTTAGCTATGTCAATGGTTGCATCATGTATGTGCATTAGGATCAATCAAGATTATGATTATAGGTGATGATTGATTAAAAGATGAAGGGATTGTCTATGTGTCCTTATTGTGAAGAAAAAAAATGTACTGGTGATGTGTAGCAAGAAAAACGAAAACGAAAACGAAATCCCTGCCCAAAAAAAATACACTGGTTATGTGCCATTTAATAACTGACCTATTTCAGTTTGACACAAATTGGGAGCTACTCGACCATCGCCCGGCCTTTTTACCTTCGATTGAAATTGGAGTGAAATGTAAGAGTGAAAGAAATGAATGAAACCCATCGGCCAGATAGAATGTCAAAAAGCGTCAAGCTCCTAAACCCAATCGTAGATCTACTGGGCTTTCGTCCCATGGCTCAAATCAAGGATAGGAAATAAGTTTACCTGCCATCCCTCAACTTTACGTCGAGTCTATATGAGATCCCTAATGGATAATACCATAAATCTCTATCTCTCAACTATTCAAACTCGTGCAAAGTAGATGCCATGGCAGTATAGAGCAATTTTTCCCCTGTTTTTGCTGACGTGGCATATGTCGAGGCCCATATATCACATTTAATTATTTTTCCCATGTTCTTGTTTTAACAAATATATTATAAAATTGCATTTAATAAAACTTATTTGGTGTTGTAAATGTTGCTAAATTTTTCTATAAACTTGATCAAATCTTAAAAAAGTTTAACTAGGAAAAATTCAAAACGACTTATAATATGAAGGAGTAGTTAATTATGTGTTTTTTAATAGTTTATTTACAACATTTCTTTTTAAATCATTAAGGATACGCATATAAAAGATTTACCATAAGCTATTTTTTTATTAATAAACCCATACCAATATAAGCATAACGGAGGTAGTAGGAAGAAGTTCTTCTCCTCCTCCTCTCCTCTTTTTGGAGCACAAGAATTTCATACCAGGATTTTTTTTAAGAAAAATAAAAGGTTCATGCGTCCCAAATGGGCTCAACGAGCCCAACGGCTTCAATTTGCAGAATGGGCTCTGAGCCTCTTGACTCTCTGAGATAAAAGAAGAAAAAAACACACAGAATGTATCAAGGGAATGCAATGGAATTGTGCTTAACCCCGGCCGGATTTTTCCTGGATAGGGCGCGTTCCAAACGGCCGGCCAACGGCCACTCACTTCGGCTGGCTCCCGTGCCGCCACCGATTCCTCCAACAACGCAAAGCTTTGCAAAAGCTCTAGCAGAAAAAAGGGCCATAAGCAAGAAGAAGCCGAGCAGCAGCAGCAGAGCTTAGCAGCATTCCATGGCGATCTCCTCCGTCTTCCTGCGTCCATCGCTGTTCTCTTCCCCGCCGGCGGCGGCGGCGGCTTCCTCTCCCCGGCGACATGGTACCAGCTTGCTGCTCTTGATCACTCCATTCCATCATCCGGATTGGTAGCTAGCTCCTAATTATAGTTCTTGAAGCTTAATTTGGCTTGCCATGCTGTTGTCACTTGACCATGACCATGCTTGTACATTTATTAATTTTTTGTTTTCGATTATGATGGTCGAATTAATCATCAAGATGAACAGTCCTGTTCTAGCGCCCAATTGGTCCTTCAGGTTGTTCCAAGGCCATTAGTTTACAAAGAAAGCTAAATAAACTAGGCTACATTTTGGTTTACATAAAAAAATACAGTTCAATTCCTGAGGAATCGAAATAAAGAGAATTCCACTTTTGATTCAAACAGGGCCATATGAGTTATTGGCTTATTTGCCCATGCATCTTGGATTTCGATACTATCTGCTGAAAAAGAAATTGTTCCCGTTCCCTTTCCATTGTGTTTACAACGTTCAATGTTCAAGTGTCATAGTACATGTTAATCTCCCAAAACAGTTAGTAATCCTGTCCTGATTTGCCTTACATTTTGAATTTTAAAAAATTTGGCACAAATTTTGGTGAATTTTGGGCCTGAGTTCTGACCATTGCTCGTCTTTCCCCAAATGCAGCAGCAGTGCTACGCGTCACCTCGAGCAAGAGGAGACCACTCTTCTCAAGGGCGGCGACGTCGCTGACGGTGAGATGCGAGCAGACGGCGAAGCCAGGCGGCGGCACCGGCGCCGGCGCCGCCGACGTGTGGCTGAGCCGCCTCGCCATGGTCAGCTTCTCCACCGCCGTCGTCGTCGAGGTCTCCACCGGCGAAGGCCTCGTCGCGGTCCGTACAATCACATCTACTTAACCTATGCGCATCAATGCAGCATTTGCAGCTCTGATCATTGACAGGTGTTCGTCCGTGCAGAACTTGGGCGTGGCGACGCCGGCGCCGACGCTGGCGCTGGTGGTGACGTCACTCGCCGCCGGCCTCGCCGTCTACTTCATCTTCCAGGCCGGCTCCCGCAACTGAAGAAACAAACCGAACTGAATCGCTGAAACATCCAAGAACTTGACATCTCAACATGTTCTTCTCAACTGATGATGAGAATTAAGATTATTATCTCTGGGATCGGACTAGTTCTTGCAAATATACAAGCATATATAGAAATGATGATTGATGACATACACATCTTGTTTGTACTTTGTACCTCTGCTTGAGTCTGCATCGATCAGCAACCTACCTTGCTGGCCTGAGTGGCCTACTACCAGCTGCAATTATAATTGAGTTTGTTCAGTTCTGCTTCTGAAAGTCTGAAGATATCCAAACTGTACTGCAAGAACCGACTTGTACTGCATCTGCATGAGCTGAAGTACTGAACCAACACAATCTTGTAGACACAAAATCATCATGCATAAGTTTACCCAAAAATCAACACAAACATAAGTTTGTACTTGAAAGGTTAGGCCTAAATTGCCTGGATTGAGCTTTACCCAAATTTCTGCACAGTGTTTGCTAGTAAGCGATTCAGTTGTACGATCGACTCTGTCCTGGAGTACACAGATGAATGTAGCCTCATCTTCTGTACTACGGCTGTACTACTGCATTTGGGTTGTCTAAATTCAATGGGAGACAAGGCTACGTGTAGCCCATGGACGTTCCTGGAGTAGCATCTTTTGATTCAGAAATAAAATAGCACTCCATTATTCGTACTGAAAAGAAGTAGTGGCAACATTTTCTAATTCTGAAGATTCAGTTTGTTTCCACTTAAATGAATGGGTCATTTTATATAGATTATTAGTAAAAGTACTAAAAGTAAGTTATTCACAAAAGTCAAATTTTGTGTTTTATGATTTTTCAACCAGCCAAAGAACATTGAACATTCTAAAATTTATGCAAATTTTGGTGAAAGAATAGAACATTCTTCTGCCGGTCCATGCAACTTTTCCATGGTAAAAAAAACCCATATCGAACTTATTTCATTATAGTATACCATAATAACTCTGTAAGGCTACAACTGCATACTATGCCTTTCCATGTGAGAAGCATAGGACTATACAGGTGGCATAGTTTAGTACAGTGCCCTTCCAAGTTTCATGTGACAAGAGATAGCAATCACTACTGCAGTTACTGCACAACTTCTGATTTGTTGAGTCATCATTATGTGTTAACCCTTCACAGAATTTTAAGCTTTGAAAGAAATAGGTGCTTGATGATCTTCTAAGCATTCATATTTTCTTGACCTACTAAAATTCATTTGTCTGTTTTTCCCAAATCAAGGGATTTTATGCGTAAAAACTTCCCCACAAAATTCAGTTGAATGGTGTGTAGATCAAGTAAAGCTGTTGGGCGTTAGCTGAGTGTGGGATCTTGCTGACACATTTTATTGTTTAGATAATGAAAATCTTTTATATCCTCGGTCTCAATCATCAGACACACTACCAAATTTAGCTGACACACTTGCTTTCCAATTTCATATGACTAATGTTTTATCTATGCAACATTTTCTCTACCTGACTAAAATGCATCTGATAGCAAACAATTCGCTTGTTTTAAGGCGTCAAGAAATCACAAAACAAGAACAATTAAAGGGCCAAAAAATGGCCAAAAGCAGACAAAAAATAGCACAATAATTAATCTCGTCAGTTTAGCACCTCTAATCTTGCAAAATACCTTCAGTGAAGGATCTCTTTTCAGTTTAGTTCTGACATTGTTATGCCAAAAAGCTCTAAGGTACAATTTTTTCTTCCTAACAAACTCTTACAAACGCTGACGTGGCATACTAAAACCTTTAACTCGTCTTAAGGCGTCAAGCAATCCCAAAAAAACTGTCAGAAGATTGCACTTAATTAGTCATCAGAAATCAAAATCTTGCAAAAAGCACAACGAACACATCTCCTTTCTGTTGAGGTGACACTGAACTTTACGCTCTGAAAACTGAAAGCGCATAACAAAATCGCCTTTTTAATCATCACGAATTGTCCTAATTCAGCTTGCGTGTTAATAATCTCTTACCAGATTTCAACACGAAGGGTAATAATCTTGTCGCCATGTACCAACCCTCGCAACATTTTGCCGCGCTTTTGCGTGGGCGATGCGCCAACTTCCCACGCTATAAATAGGCAGCCAGTTGAACCGAGTGATCTCATCTTCATCTCGCAGCAGAGTTGGAGACTTTGAGCTCTCAACTGAACCCCAATCTGCGAGGTAGCATTGTTCTTCTCATCGCCTCCTAGCTAGCTAGCAAATTATTTGATTTCTGTAGTTATAGAGGCTTTTTAGCGTCATTCGTATCCTGCTTAATGCTCCAAAGAAGTCAAATTCGTGAGATTTTGGGGATTTGCTATTCGGATAGGGGGGATAAAAATCATAAAACTATATAAAAGTCTCGTGTTTGAGTCAGAGTAGTAGTAGCCAAGAAACCAAGAGGTCAAACAGCGAAATCTCGCGGTGTTTCGAGTAGGATTTTGATCTTGAGATAACCCCGCCCTGATTAATTAATCGGTTAATTGGTGTCGTGTTTGATCTCAAAAGCGCAGGTGGGAGAAGGAGGAGGAGATGGACGGGGAGCAAGAGGCGCGGTGGCTGGCGGCGCAGGGGGTCGCCGTAGGTGCCGACATGGTCGCGGCGGCGCTCCGGCAGCTGGAGTTCCTCGCGGCGGTGGACCGCCGCCGGTGGCTCTACGAGGGGCCGCTGCTCGAGAGGGCCATCCACAGGTACGGTGGATGAACACCATATCTTCTTCTTGGGATTTCAAGAACATTAGGAGAGATTCTTGTTTTTTTTTTTCTCCTTGTCAGGGGTTAATCTTGTTTGGTGTGGTTGCTAGATGAATTTCTAGGGCATCTAGAGATGGAAAATTCCGTGAAATTTGTGCGCAACTTCGATGAAATGCTGACTTGCAGGATAGGATATTAATCATTTTTTTCTAGGTGATGAAAAGAAGTCAATCGTGTTTGCTGGGGGGCTCATGGATGAATTTCTAGGGTATCTTGAGATGGAAAATTCTGGGGAACTTGTGCCCAACTTCGATGAACTCTTTTACAGGATAGAATATTAATCAAATTGACAATTGTAGGACAGAGGAATAATCATCAAGTTGACTTTTTTTTTTCTGTTCACCTTTTAGTACTGTGGGATATATTAGGAGTGTTCTCCATGTCAGTCTATGAGATATTTCTCCTTTGCAATTGACATTGTTTAACCAACCTATATGCCTTGGGTAAAATGGGAACTTGGGTGGTGATGTGAAATGGTATGGTCAAATTGTAGATGAGAAGTGGAGTAAAATCTCTTGCCAGTTGCCACTATGCTAGTTTTTGGTCTTGTCTAGAAACTTAACGCAGAAGAAAGTGACTATTGCATCAATGTCTCTATCAGGTTGGAATAATGGATGGAGTAACTTTCTTTTCTGGGTATCATTATGAGATGTTTAGGCATTAAGTCATTGTCATGTTGCAGTTGCAGTTATGGATGAATCTCTATTCAGATCTGTGATTACTGTTCTGAGATTTTTTTAAATTCTGTTTTTGCTGTTATTTTAGGTACAAATCATGCTGGCTTCCTCTCCTTTCCAAGCACACTCAGGCTGCTGTTGTAGATGGGCCTTTAGTTGTTCCTCTTGATTGCGAATGGATATGGCACTGCCATCGGCTTAACCCGGTACTGATCTTCTCCAGGAACTGGATGATAAAATTAAGTCAACTATTTTGAAATATCTATGTCTAAAGCATCATGTAATGTTTCTGGTCATGCTATGCAGAGAAGTAATCCTCAAAATGTGAATCTTTCAGGTACAATACTTAAAGGACTGCAAGAGATTGTATGGCAGAATACTCGACAATAGCAATGTTCAGTCTTCGATTAGAGCAGAATCCAAGCACCAGTCTGAGAAGGTTTGGGCTGAGCAATATCCTAAGGAGCCCTTTGAGCTGGAGTACACAAGCTCTTCTGACAACTCAATTTATGCAAATGCTGGAGCTGCAGAGGACATTTCTTATGATTTGGTCGCAGCTGTTAAGAGACAGTCTTCTTTCTTCTACCAGGTACTAGTTACAGAAATATTCTTCACTGTCATATAATAAAAGTAGTACAGTACTACTGACTGAATCATAAAATCCAAAACATCATTCTTCAACATTCAGTTGAACCATCATATCATTATTATGAACTGAAAAGTAGTACAGGTGTTAAATGTTAATTTATCTAAATTTTGTCAATGATGATCCATACATAAGCAAATGTGAGATGTACTCAGAAATTTACCTTGTTTATATCAGGTTGACACACCAACTATGCATGATCAGCGATTTCTGGAAGAAGCTTTAGCTCGGTACAAAGGATTCTTGTACCTGATCAAGACGAATCAGGAGAACAAAATGAAGCTCTTTCGCGTGCCAACCTATGATGTGGATGTCATCTGGCACACTCACCAACTGCATCCTGCTACCTACTGCCATGATATGCTGAAGCTCATTGGACGAGTTCTGGAGCATGATGACACCGATGACGATCGATCAGAAGGAAAGAAGCTCGATACTGGATTTTCAGGGACTACCAAACAGTTTGAGAATGCCTTTGGTGCAAGATACTGGAAGGCTGGTGCTATGTACCGTGGCAACTTGCCGTCTCCTGTGACATCCAATCCTCAGATGTTTATTAGTGAGGTGGATGGTGAATTTAGTGTTGGCAAAGCTGAGTCGCAAATTACCATTCTTGAAACAACAGTTATAGAGGTATGATACTCTCACAACACATTATTATCCTTGAATCAAAGCCACAGAAGTATGGTGGTTTTTCCTTTTTACAGACTCCTGTATGGTAATGGGGATGGTGTTAAGGGCCTATATAAAGGAGCTGTTTGACAATATGGTTTGAAGTGTAGAATGCTATACTGACAACTGTTGTTTCTGAAAGTATAACTAATGTGGAACATCATATCCAGAACCTGAATTCAGCAGTTGTTTTACAAAGATTCTTCTACTGAAATTATTTATTGACTTAAAATCTTTTGGTCTTCTGCAGTTATTCTTGCAAATTGTGGACATCAAGAACTTGCCACCTGCAATTCCAAAGGAAAATGTGTACATATGGTTCACAAAGAATCAACCAGACATGTTCATCAGTGATGGTGGCAGGCTGGATATCTCTACAAAAACAGGGAAGTCGATTGGAGCCAGTATCCAATGTGAGCCTACTGGTGAACTCATTCTAACAGTACTGGTTGATCGGGAATCATCATCGAAGAAACCCAAAAAGATTGGGAAGATTTCTATCCCTCTTCAAGAGTTTACATGGTCTGATTCCAAGCTCTCCTTTGAGAGGTGGTTTGAATTGAAACCTCATGATGGGCATGCCAGTTCACCTATCGTCAGCCTTCGAGTTGCTGCCTCTTCCACTGTCCCAGTGAAGGCTCAGCAGGTTCTTAGCATGATCAGGACAGAACCTTTCTCTCTTAAGAGTTTTCTGTCACCGAATTCCATCAAGGATCAAAAGATGAGCTGCTGGACTCACTTTGTGTATGATTGCAATACTGAACTTATCCGTCTTCAAATTAGGTGATTTTCTGCCCTCCTTGATACTTCTTCAGATTAATTCTTTCATTCAAAATAAAAGAAATGGACTAACACTTTCTCACTAGTAACAGCATGGAAAGCATTTATGGTATTTATGTGTATTCATTTCAAATGCCATTGAATACATTTACAAAATGTTCTGTTTGCGATTGGAGCTGATGTTCAACACTTCAACTTATGTGGATACAGTTAACCATTTCATAAATCAAATCTAAAATTGTTGAAGCACTTAAGCACTAGTTTTTAGTTTACCTTTTTAGGATCTTTTGATTGATTAATGGTACTCTTTGTATCAAATCCTTCTTGCTAATGAGTACTGACTCGCCTTCATCTCAGGGATCAGAAGGCAAAGAACGGCATGGTTGTCGCTCGGGAGTTGGTCGGAGTAACAAAGTCATCAAAGAAACCATTTAAGCTAGCAGAGTTCGTGGACAACAAGTGGTCACTGAGCAACTCTAACTTATGCATCACTAATGACATGAAACCAAGCAAGGATGGCTCTATACTTGAGCTCAAATGTGACAACAAAACGGTAAGTGATGCTAATACATTACCTGCACACATAAATCTACTATATATGTGTGTGTGTGTCCTTGTCTCGAAAAGAATGATCTAAGTCTTCTTTGAACAAACCAGATCAAACTCTACCAGGGAAAGAGGCTAGAATTTCAACGGAAGTGCTGCAACAATCACGCAGAGGAGAATGCTTCAGCTATTACTGCTGTGAAGTTCTCTGCTGAACATCCATATGGCAAAGCAGTTGCATTGCTTGACACCAAATCTGAGCTGATAATGGTACACTTCAACCCTTATCTTTTACATTTTTTTTCAGTTTATGTACACGTCAACTTTCATTTACAAAGTTTTCAGTTTGCTTTTGTACATTTTACAAAATTTTCAGTTTGCTTATACCTGTTGCATTGTTCTTGCCTTCTTTTTTTTTCCCAGGTAAATGAGGATTGGTTTCTGCTTCCTTGGATCGTGATGTCGTTCCTGTTCCAAGACATCAATGTCGAAGACGGCTCGAAGCTCATCGGTGGCGCCATTGCTCAGAAAGGCGCGATCTCTGAGCCCGACACTGCTGCCATGGCGATGTCAGCCGAGACGGTGGCTGCTCCTGCTAACTGCGGCACTTGCGGCACGGCGTGCGACAGTAACATGGCAGGCGACAAGGTGGTGGCCGCCGCGAGATGCAAGGCCGCGCGATGCAAGGCTGTCGCGGCAAGCGGCGGCGGCGGCGGCCAGGCAGAGTCGGCTGGGTGCGGCTCGGGATGCGGCGGCGGCTGTGGCGGCGGTGTTGCCAAGGTCGTTGAGGCCACCAAGGCTGGCGTCGGCGGCCATGGCAAGTCCGGTGGATGTGGCTCGGGCTGCGGTGGTGGCTGTGGCGGCGGCGGGTGCGGCGCCATGGCCGTCGAGAGCTCCAAGGATGATGTCCATGCGAAGTGTGCAGGTTGTGGCTCAGGCTGCGGCGGCGGCTGTGGCGGCGGCTGTGGCGGTGGCATGGTCATGGAAGCCTCCAAGGCTGGCCATGTCAAGTCCGGCGGGTGCGGCTCAGGCTGCGGCGGCGGCTGTGGTGGAGGCTGCGGTGGCGGCGTGGCCATGGAAAGCTCCAAGGCTGGCCATGTCAAGTCCGGCGGATGCGGCTCAGGCTGCGGCGGCGGCTGTGGTGGCGGTTGTGGCGGCGGCATGGTCATGGAAAGCTCCAAGGCTGTCCATGTCAAGTCCGGCGGCTGCGGCGGAGGCTGTGGTGGCGGCGTGGCCATGGAAAGCTCCACCGTTGGACATGCCAAGTCCGGTGGCTGCGGTTCAGGCTGTGGCGGCGGCTGCGGTGGCGGCGGTTGCGGCGCGATGCTCAACGCGAGCACCTGAGCGGCGCAGGCGGTTGCGCCGGCGGCCGCCGGCGATGGCGCGGCGCGCCATTCTGAACCAGCAGGTGAAGTGTGTCGTCAATTAAATTCTCTGCAAATAAAATTCCGTTTGAAAAAAAGTGAAAAAGGAAAAAAAAAACTTAGTGCTGTTGGTCATATGCTGCTATCTGTAAATAGTACATAATAAATTGTAATGTGGTGTGATAATAAGATAAATGAAAAAAAAAAGAGGAGTGTATCTTCCCTCCAAATCAGAAACATGAGATGTGGGTTAAATTTGGATTATAAGGTGTTGGCTGTTCAGAACGTAAGTTTCATCACTGTATTCAGCTGCAAACATAAGATGAAAGCTACTTTTTTTTTTTGACGCAAAAGGTAGAGAGACTCTACCTTGTTTCCATTGTATTAATGGTGGTCATAAAAGTGACAAAGCCAGTGGCTGGCAAGAGATTATACAGGGGGGGGAACAGAGAGGAAGGATAAAGAGAAAGAAAGATAAAAAAAGAAGGAAAGGAGAAGAAAAGGAAGAAGAAAGAACAAAACACAGGAATAAAAATAAAAATAAAAATACAGGAATAAAAAGGAAACCTAGCTAAGCTTGTCTGCCCAAGTGTTGAGGTGTTCGCGAAGGCTAGGCTTTAAGCGATGAACCCATAATTGGAGACTTTCTCTGATTCGATGCAGGATGTATGCAACGCTTGTTTCCGTGAGCTTGAAGATCAGCTGGTTGCGTGCTTTCCAGAGACCGTGCGAACAAGCAGCAAAGCATGCAGGCCATCCCGGTTTCTGGTGTTCTGGCAAGGTGTCCAGGATTGATTCCACAAAATCTTGTATGTTAGAGCTGCGCACGGCTGTCTCATATAGGTTGAGCTTCTTCCAGACTTCCCCTGCTAATTTGCAACGAAGAATGATGTGATTTGATGTTTCAATAGCTGGGCAGGTCATACAGTGTGGGTTGGAATCCCATTTTTTAAGAACCCTGTTTGCATTGGTGTTGAGCCTGTCTCGGAACGCTAACCACAAAAAGATCCTGCAAGTGTTGGGGATAGCCTTGTTCCAGATAAGTGTTGCCGGCTGCCAAAGGATGCCATGATAAGTCAACAAGTTGTAGTTTGCTGATGTTGTGATATCTGTGGAACCAAGCAGCAGTGTTCTTTTGTCGGGGACATTCTGTTGTATGTGCTGTTCCAACAATATATCCATGAGGGACTGTAACTCGGTTTGAGCCCGGGAAGAGAGAACCGGGTGTAGAACAATTGTCCAGGTACCGTTAGTGTGTTGGGAGGAGACTGTACAGTTGATATTTGTTGCGTAGGAAGCTAGTGTCGGATATATGAGGTTGAATCGTCCTGCTGCTGTCCAGTGGTCTCGCCAAAACTGCACTAGCTGGCCGTTCCCAATCGTTACCTTAGTGGAGGCAATAACTGGCTCGATAACGGAACAGACTGTCTTCCAAATCGGTGTTTCTGTTGGTTTTGCTTTAATAGGGATCTCATTTGCCATGTGTTGCGTGCGCAACCATTGAAAACATGGTTCTGATGAGTCTGATAACAACTTGCCTCCTATCCTCATAAGTAGAGCCATGTTGTGAGCTCTCAAGTCACGGATCTACGCTACTACTCTTTTCATATCAGAATGTAGCAATCTAGGATGTGACTTGTCCTAACATAATGAATCTGGACATGCCTCATATTATGTTTGACGGAGGTACTAGCCAATATTTGTGTTTGAAGTCATTAAAAGTTTGATTGTACTATGTAATCATCAGATATCAGGGATCTAAAAGTCCACTTTTTTTTAATTGGATGTAGTAGCACCTTTCATGATGTAGGGGGATCATTCTATCATCTACTACTAGGGAGTCGATTCTAATCCCTCGAGGGGATATCCCCTCGTATATCTTTTTCTTCTAAATTCAATGCAAATAGTTGTGAAAAATTATGAAAAAAAATTGACAATGTAGAGTATAATGATACCTATTACTCCACCAAAAGTCAAGTTCAAATTCGATCTACACATCAAGAAACAAAAAAGACAAATTTAGATATAAACATTACGCTACTATTTATACGTTGAATTTGTCTTTTTTATATCTCGACGTGTGAGTTGAGTCTGAACTTAAGATTTTGTAGAGTTGTATATATGTGTTGCATGAATATTGTCAAAATTTTTCAGAATTTTTCATAACCGTTTAAATGATTTTTAAGCAAACGAGGGAACATCCCTCAAGGGATTAGAATAGTTTCCCTCTACTACTATCCTCTTTTTCCATTTTCCCCCCTTCCTTTTTCCCTCATTTTTCATGAATCATGTTGCAATCAGATGGTTGTAGTACTCTCCTACTGGTAGTAGCCAGGTCCCCCTGACCTAAACACTGAACAGTGAACTCATGTGGAGCAGAGCCTCAGACTGCTTGCTCCTGTACTTAACTGTCTCTTCCTTTTTACAAAGCAGAGTAGCTCAACAGTTTTGAGCAGCCATGCTCGTGAACTGTCCTGCCTATATGGAACTCGGATCAGTATGCCAGTTGTGTGTGTCATATGAAGTTGGTCCATCAGTCCATCTGGTTTGGCTTTTCAGGTGGCTCAGACATCAGAGCCTGCCTGACTCCAAACAGTATGTGAAAATTTTCAAGTGAATAGCCTGTTTTTTTTTCTTTTCATTAATGGTTTTCATGTGAATGATTTAGTGGTAATTATCCAAGGGTGCACACAAATGTATTGTAACTATTGTAAAGAATTTCATACTCAGAAAGTTTTTACTCCCTCCGTTAAAAAAAGTTGTGTTTTTACCTTTTAATTTGTCCATCAATGATGTATTTTTAAGTTTAGGTCCTCATCCACTAGACCTCTTAAAACTACTAATCTTTTTTCCTCGTTTTAGCCATTCAAGCATTAATATTCCTTCGTTTCTCTCTGCATTAATAAAGGGTATGGTAGTTTTTTTAGCCTATATCTTTATAACTTTCTAAAACAACATATTTTTTTTGGATAGAGGGAGTGCGGAAATAGTACTCCACCATTTAGTATCACGGGAAGTGTGCCGATCAATGGATTTTTCTATTGCTTAAGCAAGTACTATAAGTGTTTAGAGCATGATCAACAATCGCTCAATACTATTCCAATCCCAAAGGGTTTTTAAGAAAAAAAAAAGATCCATCAAAACTCCTAATCAGATTAAAAAAGTTTGGGATTTCAATCCTGTGATTTACGTTCTCCATAAGTGGAGAAGACCTCTCGCTCCCAATCCACCGATCGTGGGCAATTTTCGCACGCTATGGAGATGTCCACACTGCACCAGTCCTCACAAGCTCGTCCGTCGCCAATCCCGACTCGTGCCGCCGTTGGGCGTCATGTGTTGGTCATTTGCCAGCCATCGATTTCATACCATTGCCAACCCGTCATGCAAGAGAATGAGAGAAGGTGTAGAGGAGGAAGAAAAGAGGGATTAACATGTGGGCCCCACCTGTCGGGTTATTATATATGAGAAGGGGAGCGGTTGCCCTTTTTTTTTTGACCGAAGAGTGGTTGCCCGTTGGTAGTTTTGTAGGTGATCCCATCTTATATTACATAGAATCATGTGTTACCTAATCTGTTGGAGTGGAGGATATTTTAGAATCTCAAATCCTAGTTAAAAATCTCCAAAAGGTTATTTAGGGAGGTGATTTATTGGGTATCTCTTAGTGATGCTCTTAAATGCTACCAAAAATATAACATAGGATTAGGTAATGAGATGGAGAAGTGAGTGGAGAGAGAATGAGTTACTCCTCACGCAAAGGGTAACATCTCAAAAAAAAAAGCAAAGAGGGTAAGGGCACATTTGAATCAAATGATTTATATAGGAATTTCATAGGATTCAAATCCTATAGGAAATTTCATAGGATTGAAGCTTTCCAAATCCTATGAAATTCCTATGGAAATCCACGTTGCATGTGGATTTTGGAGGAAATTTAGCAAGAGCTCCAACCTCTTGGAAAATTTCCTCTAAGTCTATCTCTCTCATCTAATTCCTACGTTTTTCCTGCGCTCCAATCAATCGACCATTCCTATGTTTTTCCTGTGTTTTGTAATCCTCTGTTTTACACTTCAATTTCTGTCAGAATCATGTGTTTTTCCTATCCCTCCATTTTTTCAACCCTACGATTCAAAGGGGCCCTAAGATAGCGTGAGAGTGAATTATCAAAAGAAAACTATTGTGGTTGTGTGTTAGCCGCAATATATTATATATTGTAGATGAATAGGCAACACATTTCCTATTAAACTTGCTCCTATATACCCCTTCGTTCCAAAATATAAACATTTATAGGTAGTGAGTTTTTTTTTAAAAAAAAACAAAATAGAACGCAGCCGAGATAGCCGTTTGATCCATATCGGACGGTCGGAAATAATCGGTTGACCTTGTGGCCACGGAACATGCAGCTGGTCTCGATCCCGGAGCAGAGAGAGAGACCAATCAAAGTTATCAAACCAACCGCCAGCGCTGATCCGGCTCGGCTGTTGCAGCTCGCGCGCCCCCACCCCTCATTCACTCTCCACCGCACCGCACCGCACCGCGCCCTCGCCACCACGGCGCGTCGCGCCCCCGACGCGCCAGGTCGCCGCTCCCGTGTCGCGCCGCGCCGCGCCCCCACGGCCCCGGTACGCGCGCTCGCTCGTGCGACACGCCGAGGCCGAGGAGAGGAGACAGAGCAAGCGACAAAACGCGCAGGCGATCCCAGAGCGCGCCGCGCCGCGGCCGTGTCGATCCCATCGAACACCTCCTCCTACAGGAGTCTCGAGGGCTACTTGTACACACACCCATACTAGAGAAAGAAACAACGAGAGGAGATACAGAGATTGGGAGAGGTTAGCGAGAGAGGTTGGGCAGTAGCCATCATCATCATCAATTCATCTTCTCCAAAAAAAATCAGAGTAGAATCTCATCACTCACGTACGTGCAGCTTCTCTCTCTTTCTCCTTCGCGCGCGTCGATCGCTTTCTCGTCCCCATCATAAAGCAAATGATTCGTTCGCCTCGCCACCCTGCTTTAATTCTCTTCTTCTCCTCCTCCTCCGCCGCCGCCGCCGCCGAATCTTCCGGTAGCTAGATCCCCTCGCCGGCGACGTGCTTGCGTTTCTTGGTGTCGTGACGATCGGGGCGATCCATTTTGTTTCAGGTCAACGCCGGTGATCCTCTCCGATGGGGTCGTTCAAGGGGCACGTGCTGCCGGGGACGCTGTTCCTGGCGGTGGGGGCGTGGCACGTGTGGGCGGCGGCGGCGAGGTTCGCCGCCGACCCGCGCGGGTTCAGGCTGCGCGCCTGGAACCCCGTGGACGTCGGCGGCGGCGGCGCGCCGGCGTGGCTCCCCGCCCACCTCGAGCTCTACGTCATTGCCGGCGGCGCCTTCCTCGACATGTGCGTCGAGGTGCTCTACTCCACCCACCTCCACATCTTCGCCGACGGCGGCATCAACCCCGCCCACCTCAACGACCTCGAGCACGGCGGCATGCTCCTCATGTTCTTCCTCTTCGGCATCCTCGCCCTCCTCTCCCAAAAAACCAGGTAACCTAGCATGATCAATCCACTCTTCTTCCCTTGCTCATATTGATTTCCTAACATGATCAAATTTTCGTCTGTTTATTCATGCTATGATCATAATATTTTTTTTCAACTTTTTATTTAATTTTTTTAATTCATAATTTGATCGAAATTTCTCTATTTTTTTTTCTTTGTCATGATATGGTCAATGTTCATCCTTTTCTTGTTCTTATCAAAGAATAATCCATTTTTCTCTCCAATTGAGAACGACGACCACCACCAATCCACTCCTCTTCCTTGCTCATCTTGACTTCCTAATATGATCAGAATTTCTTCTTTTTATTCATAATTTGATAAAAAAAAATCTTTTGTCGTGATATGATCATTATTCATCTATATCTTGCTCGGATCAAATTCCACAACAAAAAAACAAACTGTATCACGTTTTTTCACTAACTCAGAAGCCATTTGCCTCTCCAAATAATTGAGACGCTTTGTGTTGGAATAAAGTGTGCGTGATCAAAGATTTCCAGAGCTTGATTACTAGCAGCATCTTTTCAGTTGGGTTCTTCTTGAGTACATGTGGGACATGAGGAAAAGGGGTTGATATGTTTGTTGGAATAGTTGGTTGGGGCAGGAATTGTCAAGCCCTTCCCTTCCCCCTTGTGGCTCATTGATTTTGACTATTGGGGTGTCGCATCCTGAAAACGTCACTGGGACAGACAATGCAGAGGATTGGCTGGTCCAGCCTAAGCCATGTGTCCATTCTAATTCTAAACTCTCATGCTGGTCCAAGTTGGCAGGTGCTAGTTTCACATCACTCCAAATGGCACATTGCAAATTTGCAATTCTCCTTTTTTTGCCAAAGAACAAACAACCTTTTTTACACACTGTTGTTTAGTTTAACCTTTTTTTTTTAAAAAAAAAAACTCATTGGTGCATGAAAGGAGCTTCATGGGTTCAACACCCAGTCAGTATATATTAAGGTAGTTAGGTGGCAATAGTTTACTATTGAGTTAAATAAACTAATTGGGTGAAGACATCAATGGATTGATTCTTCTCTGTGCCCACAGCTTTAGCAAGAAGTCAAAATTCACATGGATGGAGCAGAAGTTTACCGGTTACCACTGTTTCCTCTGATCTTCCTCTTGGAGATCTTCCTCTTCTCTTTTTATTTAACCCTTTTTGTAGATAAAAGTGTTGAGGTGGGGTCAGGGAGAAGTGCATTCCTCCTGCAAGTGCAATTTGTAAATGGCCAAATTGAATCTGACTCTGTTTTGCATTTGATTGTTGGGGGGGCCCTGTTGTGGTCTGAATGGAATTCTTGTGTGACCTTTTCACCTCCAATCATATTGCTGTTTTGTTTTATCTTATCCTTGCAGCCATTGTTGTTATCAAAAAGGTAGTTGTGTTCCCCCCATTGTAAGTACAGAGAGTGACCATCAACAGTTTCAGTGCAATGGTCTAGAGTAAAGGCCCCATTTGCATCTCAGAATATCTGTACAAATTGAACTGTTTCCTATGAAATTTCTGTGTTTCAAACATGACATTGAGAACGAGCGCCTGGTTCAAATGCGAATTGAACTGTTTCGTGCTAAATTCTTACATTTCAAACATGGCATTGACAATGTGAGACATTTTGAATGAAAGGGATTCACTGCAAATTGGAACAATTTCTCTAGTTTCTTTTTTCATGAAATTCCTATGTACTGAAAATTTGCAAGATTTGGCATCTAGGAAAATCCGCGCAAATTGAACTGTTTCTCGTGAAATTCTTCTGTTTCAAATATAACACTGATAAATAAGGGCCCGTCTCGAATGCAAGAAGGAACAATTTCTCCAAGTTTTTTTTATCTCTAAGGGTTGTATTTTCTCCTGCTCTATTCAATGAAAACACTCTAGTGCTGTTTTTCGTTCAAAAAAAAATTCTCCAAGTTTTTTGTGAAATTCCTATTTCTGAAAAATTTACAGTGTTTATCTGAAAATTTACACTGTTTTGGTGAAGGGTTTGCAGGTACCTGCCGTTGCCGGAGGGGGCGCTGTGCCTGGTGGCGTCGACGGCGTTCATGGCGGAGCTCCTCCTCTTCTACTTCCACTCCACCACCCACCAGGGCCTCGAGGGCTACTACCACTACCTCCTCGTCGTCGTCGTCGCGCTCTGCGTCGCCACCACCGTGCTCGGCGCCCTCCTCCCCGCGAGCTTCCCCGTCGACATCGCCAGCGGCGCCGCCATCGCGCTCCAGGGCCTCTGGTTCTACCAGACGGCGTTCACGCTCTACGGGCCCTCGCTGCCGGCGGGCTGCCGCCGCGACGCCGACGGCCACATCGACTGCCACACCCACGCCGCCCAGGAGCGCGCCGAGCAGCTCGCCAACTTCCAGCTGTTCGGCCTCGTCTTCCTCGTCTGCGCCTACGCGCTCGGGTGCTTCGCCGTCGCCGCGGCGAGGCACGGGCACCCCGACCTGGCCACGATGCACGCCAAGCACGTCGCCGCCATGGAGGCGCAGCTCGCCGGCGCCGGCGCCGGCGAGGGGGACAGGTTCGTCGGCTCTGCGCTGCCGCTGGAGGACACCGCGATCTAAGTGAGCGGGCTCGCCGGCGACGTCGCTGTCCGTCGTCGCCGCCGTCTTCTTGGATTTGGGTATAGGAAGAGGAAGTAGAGTGCATGTGACACGTGGCAGGGGCAGTTCAGAGTTCAGAATTCGGAATTTTCAGATCATGAAACGATCGAAGAGTAGGAGGCTGCAGATTAATTGGGATTAACCACAATAGGGGATACAAAATTCATGGAAACTTTGATTTGATCAGTTGCTTGATTGATCCTTTTTGTTGTGATTACGTGAGGGTTTATATTTGGATTACGATTTTTCCTCTGATCGGTGCAGAGGTTTTGTCTTGTACATCAAATTGGTTACTGGGTTATGCATACGACAGCATTATGGATGAACAGCATATAATTAGAAACTGTTTTTAGACATGTTTTTTGTACTTTGATGTGATCATACGGTTTGTTTGGTTGGAGGGAGTTAGTGATGAGGAATGGGAGTTTATGATATCTAGGAGTTTAAATCTGTAGTTTGGTTGAAAGACTTGGGAATTCGAGAGGGTTTGGGATAGGGAATTAAGAGGTCCAATTCCCATCAATCTCTTGCCTGGGGGAGGCCTGTTAATTCGTGAGACTTGTAGGGAATTCGATGTGAAACCAAACAAGAGATGGGGACTAAAAATGTAACTCCCATGACCAATCCCACCATCAACTCCCTCCTTAAAACTCCCATTCCTCTTCTCTTCTCTTGCCAAACAGGCCAATAGGTCCATTCAGATTGGCAACCCGTCTTGCTCCTGTGCAATGTATAATTGTACATTGGCTTGTTTAATTTGTTGCTGAAATTAACCTTATCTGACACACTTTGGAGTTTCCAAACTTTAGCAATGTTGGATGTGTGTAGTTTGTAGCCTAACCAAAATTTAGTAGTGTTTGTATGAGAAGATACTTTTGAAAATACCAAAATTTTGGTAAAGTGACAATGACAAAAGTTTGCTTAGTTTGTTACCCTAACAATTCTTGGTTATTACGAAAGAATTGGTAGGACTGAAAGTGGTGGTAAAGTGAAATTGGTAGAGTTGTGGTTTATTTCGAATTTAGAACTTTACATTCGGAATCAATTTAGGGCCAACTTTTGTCACTTTGCTTTGCCTTTTAAACTGTCCGAGTAGAAGTACAAAAATTCGTCTTCAGATCCGTGTAATTTCGGGACATTTTATTGTCACTTTCTTCACTTAGCTTTCCCTTTTAGACTGTTAGAGAAGTATAAAAACTTGGGAAAAAAAGGAATAAGTTCCCTTGAGGTCCCTTAACTCGACGAGTTCAATTTGCATCCTAGAACCATAATACCAGATACAACGGATCCCTCAACTGTCAAAACCGGTATAATATAGGTCACATGACGGTTTAGACGGTGGTTTTGATTTCGTGACACCTACGTGGCTAATTTGACTCGGTTTTCATCTGACGCAGCATATGAAACAAAATTTAACAATTTTAAAAATAAAACAAAATATATGGACCCACATGTCAGTCAAATAATAAGATAAAAAATAGTGGAGCCCACATATGGGCCTCATGTCCTCCCCCTCATCCTCTCTCTTCTCTATCTCTCCCATTCTCCTTTTCCCTCTTCCCCTTCTCCTTCCCCGGATGCAGCCGGCACACCAACGAGCGAGAGTGGAGGCACGGCGGAGGCGTGGGGATGCCAAATCGACGGGGAAGAGGTGGGCACTACCTCCACTGTTGAGCATGTGGGCGTCATGGTCCACCGACGAGTGTGCAAAGAGGAGGACGAGGCGGGGAGGCCAGCGAGGGAGGGGGGTAGGTGGGCAGGGAGGTGGCGGCGAGGCCGGCAAGCTCCTCCTAAGTCCAAATCCATCATCGCTGACACCACCTCCAACGCGCGAAGAGGGAGGAGGCGGGGAGGCTGGAGTGGGGGCGGGGATGGAGCATCATCTGGCCTGCACGGCCTACCGCACCCCGGCCATGGTAGGAAACCATGTCTGTCGTCGCCGCCACCATCATCGGGATCTGGATGCGCCACCCGTCGGCCAGGTTGCCACGTCACATCTTCCACCCCTACTCCAACCGGGTCACCGCTGGCATCGTCCTCCACAGCTTTGGCCCCCCCAACTACGCCGCTCCACTACCACGCTGTCCTCTCTAGATCTTGGTTGCTGACGCTACTCCGGGGGACCCACGTCGATATGCTTCGCCCATCGCTCTCGCCACCCCCTCTACCTCGCCTCGTCGCCCACCGAGCCACTAGCCTCGTCCCCTTTGCCGTACCTCCGCATTCTGCATGGGTCCTCAACGTTGCTGGACCCGACCGTCGCCACCATCGACCAGAGGGACCACCTTCACCGACCTCGCCGCGTTGTTCCTCCACCCCTTCACCATTTTCGTCGGGCGTCCTCACCGTCGAGGAGAAGAGATAGGTGAGGGGAGAGAGATGAAGAGATGGGAGATGGGGAGAGAGGAGGAAAGAGATGAGGGGAGTGAGAATGACAAGCGGAACCCACGTGGGTCCCACCTTTTTTAATTATGTTTTTGTTGCAACTGACATGTGGGTCTATGGTTTTTATTATTTTCCAAATCAAATTGCCATGTAAGCTCTACGTCAATACCAAGTGGGATGAAGACCTAGTCAAATTAGCCACGTAGATGTCATGTCAGCTAAAACCAGGAACAATATCGCCGAGGGATCTAGTTTGCGCTGGTTTTGTAAGTTGGGGGACCGTTATATATGGTTTTTTTGTTTCAAATGACCAAAATCGGATTAGGTGTCAAGTTAAGAAACCTCAAATGAACTTATTTCAAAGAAAAATTGTACCGGCCTAGTTAGGCCCAATTCGATAGGGGGTGTGGCAGGTAACAGTGTGGCTAGCAGCATAGCCATGATCACTGACCCCTTGTCGCCCCGCTGATTGTCCTCCGCGCCAATCGTCTCTCCGTCGGCGCGGTTGTTGCATCTCGCGATGGCAGCCCTTGTCCTTGTACAAGGTCTTTTCTCCTCTCTCACCCAGAAGTCCATTTTACCTTCCTCCTTTTAATTAATTTTAAAATATTAAACCTTCGAATCAAATTTTAACATACTAAATGAACTTATGTGAAAACGTTGTAAAAAACAATTAAAGTTGTATAACTTATTGAGATCTACCAATCTTATTTTTGTTATTTCTCCATCTGAGTTTGATTGATCTATACAAAATTTGAATTTCAAATTATGACAACTTCAAATAACATTTTAAATACTAAATGATTTCAATTAAAAAAGTTATCAACAACAAAGTTGTATAACGCATCAATATCTATAACTTTTGTTTTGTTCATTTTGCTATATGACTTTGTTATAATAATTTGAATTTGAATTTCAAATTATGGCAACTTCAAACAATATTTTCAAATACTAAATGATTTCAACTGAAAAAGTCATCAACAACAAAGTTTTGGTTAATCTTTGTTATCTATATAGAAGTCATCATCAACAAAAGATTTTAGAACTAATCTTTGTTATCTATATACAAATTTTGGTTAAACTCATAAAGGAACTTTACTATAGTGTAAACACTTTAGTGACCAAAATTCTTAGATAACTTTGTTATCTACATACACATTTTGGTCAAACTCGTAAATGAACTCTACTATAGTATAAACTCTTTAGTGATAACTCTTGTTAGGTCCATATAGTGACTTTTAAAATTAATATACGAGCAATTGTCAATTCTTATATTGCAAGTATACTGGTAACTAGCATTAGTAACACATATTATGTGCTACGACAGTTCTTCCTATAATACTGTACTGTTTCACATTAGATGTAGTATGTGTTACAGCCTTTCGTGTAACGCATGCTTTGTGCTACTGTGGTATTCTCATGTAACATATATCTTTATGTGCTACAAGTTTATGTTATAATAGCCCTGTCCTGTAGTAGCGAAGTTGGTGAAATAGAAATTCAGAATCAAAGTTCAGACGCAACATGAATACATGATGGCCTGGAAAACTACCCAACCCAACCCAACCAATCGACCTTGCAGTGCACAACATTGAAATTTGGAAACTACCGCCACATCAAATTCAAATTGCAATTCAAACTTACTAGCATGACACGCAAAGCAGGCGCAGACGACAGCATGCACCATCATGCATGGTTACCATTGCAAGAATCCTTCATATACTTATCTGTTGTTTTCCATACCAGAACATATTTTATGAAACACATAATTAACACTCAAGTTTCTCAGATCAAGTCCACCGAACTTTTAACATCAGGTCAATATATATGTAAACCTCGTAATTCCGAATGCAACAGCCAGCAAAAAATCAACGAGATGGATGCACCTCCATAATACTAGTAATAACTCTAAAAGAATTGTTGGCCATTGTTGCTTGTCTCCATCTTAACCTACACATCTGGTCAGCAATTTCTGAAGCATATGACCAAACCCCAAACACATCATCCTCAGACCTGTAACAAACTAAAAATAGCTCAGACAACCGTTCACGAAACTAGACTGCAACTAATACAAGGCTTATAATGCAAGATTGGCATGGCTGCAACAATTACAGACATCATGCAAATAATTAAGCTCAAAGTAATGAGCTTTGTAGTAAACACACAAGAAAAACCATCTGTCCCTGTACACAAATCAAAGGAACATGCAACAGGAAAATACCTTCTAGTTTTCAGGCAGTACCTCTTAAGCCAAATCTTCACATGAAAAAAAATATGCCAACCTGAATGAATTGGAGTATATTAAAACAGTAATGAATACATATGCCAAAACCTAACAATCTATCAAATTGATGAATCATGCTCAACAGGGCATCTTCATAACCGCCAAAGAAAAACAATAAATAGACCACACAACTGGGGAGGATCAATGATCAACACAATATAAAAGCAAATATAGATACACTAATCCATGTACATGGATCATAGTCGTATTAAAGAGTGTTACATTGACCAAGCCCAATTAACTTAATTAGCTGCATACACATTGCACCTTGCACCTTGCATTGGAGATGAAGTTTCAATTTTCACATAAGTTAGAATCCCAATTAGAATCATTATTGGATGAAGTTTCAATTTGCACATCAGTTACAGTTACAATCATAGCCCACCCATAGGTGAGGTCGGTCCATGTCGGCCGACACACAGGTGAGCCATGTTTACCAGGAGTAACAAGTTCTTAAAGCCTTAAACTACAAAAATGCTTCAACCCGGTCGTCCGATCTTGAGAAAAAAAATCGGACGCCTCTTACTGTGATTTTGCTGCATGCAGCCTTTGTCAGATCCTCTCTCTGTTACATATACTTCCTTTGTGGGTATTAATATGCATGAAAGAGAGATGACACGAGGTTACTTGCATGTACATAACACACTTTTAGCAAACTTGAAAATGATTTTTCTTCTAAATTACTCA